CATATATATATATTTTTTTTATTATTATTTTTTTTTCCATCTTGCATGGGCATGTGCTGCTTATTGGCAGATATAGTGCGAGTGAGAGCGATAAGAAAAGGAATGTTTACGCCCAGGCTCTCTCAACTTGCCTGAACTGCTCCAGGACACCCAAGTATCCGTCTTTATTGTTCTTGGCTGAAACCCCCTTCCAACTCCCAACGCCACAACAAGCATAATCTAAACAAAGAGGACAAACTTTTGTCCCACGGCTGCCTTCTGCACTGTCTCTCCCTATATGTGGTTCGGTATTGCCCCTGTTCAGACTTGGCAGGCAGCACTGGAAATTCGGTGCAGCACGGACACTACCCCATTGTACGGCAGAAGGCAGAATAAGCACAAACAGCCCCTCAGCTACTGAAATGATTCACAAAGGTCAAGTTTATCTTCCTTTCTGTACAGTAGAAGAAACAATTCCCCGCTGCTAGCACCATCCCCGAATAGTCTGACTAATACGGTGCCTGAATTTAGCAATGCCTTTCACCTCTTAAGTTTTAAGTACTTTGTGCAGATAAAGCAGAATGGGAAAATTAAAGAGGGATTTGGGGGAGAGGGGAAGGGGAGTTGTGATTGGCAAGATAATAATTCAGTTTTAACCTGCTGGGAAAAGATAGCTAAAGGAGCTGACCTGCCACCTCGTGCGGTTTGGACACGTCGTGGTCACAGCCCCAGCACGCTCCTGCCCACGCGCTGTGAGCAGCTCAGCTCCCAGCCTCTTAATTTTGACCTTCACTTTTCAAGGATTGTTTATGATGCGTATTACTAGGACAAACTGGCACCTCTTGTGGCTTCCCACTGTAAATACCAAGAGAACAAACTCTCTGATTTATTAATCAATTAATTAGATACAATATATTTATGGCCACCGCAGGCCCACAGTAATTTGTTGTAACAAAGTGCTAGGCTGCAGTGAAAAACAAACTGATACCATCTATCAGTCCTCCTGCAGAGGGAGAATGCTCTTTCTTTCCAAGCAAAGATGGTAACAATTACTGAATGGAATGGTTAACGTTTCCGCTGAAATTTGAATTTGTAGATAGCTGGAGCATTTGTTGTCTCTTTCTTCACTTTTACTTTATGAGTTTTGTCCTGGAAAACCAGAAAAAGAAGAAAAAAAAATTGTTGGCATGTAAGAAGGAAAAAAACCCCACCCTCACAGAAAGAACAAAGTCCCTGTCTGGGACTAACAAGCCATTAGTGGAAAAGGACCACTTTCCGCTGTTTCGGTGGGAATTCTATTTCTGTCTGCTCTTTCTCCCTTTAGGCTGCCAGGCACAACCTGTTTTGTTCACAGGCACCAGTGGATGGCGAGTCCCATTGACACAAACAATTTTTTGGTCACTGGGATTTTTTTCAGATCTCCTCATAACCTACAAGTTACGGTTCCCTGCCTCTGCTACTTGAAAGTATTAATTTCGTAGTCGACAGGCGGCAACAGCACATTAGCAAAGACTTGTGAGCACCATTTCAGAGCTGAGTCTTTGTCCTTGCTGGCATGGCAAGAGCTGGACTAGCAGCTATGATTTACTAGCTATGGCACAACAGAAATTCTTCATCTCCTTGTTTTTTCCATACTGAAAGACAACTATTTATTTTTAGGAGTTATCTGGAAGTGGCACACATACAAAACTAGACCTAATGACGTTAACAAAACAGATTCAAAGAGCCAGAACTAAATCCCTCACCAGAAGATCTTTACGTGTCTGGATTTTCTGTGCAACAACGAACATGGCCTTTTCTCTTTCAATGCGCTGCTTCAGGAGGTCATACTGATTCTTCCTTTGCTGGGCTAATTTCTGGAGAAAAAAAAGAAGCGTTTTTTAAGATAGAGAGAGTAACAAAATACTACGGTCTATAACTGACCTATTTTGAGGCACTTGGACCTCACAAACAACTGCTGTGGCTAGATTCAATGCTGTGGCTAGATTCCAGTTTCAACATCTTGATTCTCATACTAGAGATTTTCTAGTTAAGACTTTATTCTTCGTGGTTGTTTTAATCTCCTAGATCCAAACGTTAAACCCGAAACCTCGTCTCATCTAGTTTAGATGCTGTGGAACCTTGTTCAGCAAGTGCCTGAAATTTATTTTTCTAAATCCTCTGAATCTCAATACTGAGTGCAAGACAACATTTAACTCCCTAATGAAAAGCCAATTTATCCAGAGGGGTGCAAAAAAACCCACAAAAAAACTAGAGACCAATTCCTGAAGTGCTTAGAAATTGCAGAGGTCTCCCAAAACGCAACTTGTTTGGTCATGTTTACCTACTAAGAGCTGATGGCTTTCCCAGCACAAAAATGGCATTACTGCAGGTGTGATTTAAGTAATTAAATTAAGGAGAACAGATCCCAACATGCTTAAAATATGACTCAGATATTTAGAGGAGAAAACTTGTCAGTCTACAACTTGTCCAACTGCTTTACTGACAAGTCAAAATGAGAAACTTGGCAAGGAGGAAGGGACCACAGGGTGTTTGTTATCTGACATCTGATTCAGAAAACAACACGCTACAAATTTACCAATCGGCAGTTTTAGACAACTTTATTTGTACCTTACACATAACCATTCGAAGCTTATAGGACTGTCCAACGTATCCAAACTAATTAAACAGTATTTACAGTGTTAAAGCCAAGTGTAGCTACTTCCAGGACAGAAGTACTATGATATTAAAACATCAGACTCAAAGTTGGTTGCGTAAGCATTTCATCCTGAAGGATCACGAAACGCCTTAAATTAGGAAAGCCAGGAGATGAGACTATCGCCTAAATGTCTTTAAGAAGGAAAGGTGGGCAGAAAAGCCCTGAATCTCATGCCAGTTTGGGGTCAGAACCTAACTGAAAAATACCGTGAGACCAGAAACCCCAGGACAGACACATCTGTGCCGGAACGGATCCTCTTTAGTGCTGGTTATCCAACAGGTGTAAAACATGAAGGAAACTGCAGCAACACAGAGGCAGCACAAGGTACCTTTAAGTGGGCAGGATCAGTAGCTCCTTTCAGCGTCTCTTTCTGCAACGTGGCAATGGTCGGTCGGTTGTACACCCTGTCCACGAGCTCTGGAACAGTATCCAGGTGAGCTGCAATGTCAAACTCCTGAACTACAAATAAAAAGAAATTCAGGAATAAACTCACGTGGACTTCTTGGAATAATGCTCAGCAACCCTTTCCAACACACAGGTTAAGCACGGGCAGCAATGGCAGTCCCAGCAGCATAGCTCCTGCAGACTGGGATCTTATCTAGGCATCAAAAGAGATTTCTAGAGCACCTGAATTATTATTCCTGGGGAAAAGAAAAAAATCTTGTTTTTCTTTATAACAGCATAAAGAGAACACCATACTATTTTAAACAGCCTATTTACTGTAGAAGAAGCTTTCTGATCAAACGTCTTTAAATCTTACCTTCCCTTCTAGTATCAAAAAAGAAGAGGTGCTGGCCGGGGCCCTTCCCCTCGGCACCCAGAAGGTGGAGCTCAGACTTCAGCCGCTCGATTTTCTGCGGGAAAGAGAAGCTCAGCGGTTCTGCCAAGGTAAAGGGTGTCTCTCCTCGACGTACATTCTGTTTGTTCCTCAACAAAACATCTGAACTCCTCCTTCCTTTGTAATCTTTGAAGATACATCTCGTCTATGCTTATGTCTTCATAACCTTTTCTCGTAATTTCCCGTATTACCCAGCCAAAAAGGCACAAATCAATTTTCAAAACAGTAAGTTATCTGTCTGGCAGACAAAGTAGGAGTGATTACCATGAAATCACTAGCAATAAAACATTTTCAGAAGTGGGTCATGTTTCTGTTGATTACCTGCCTACCCTATTCAAACAACCCACTTCAGTAACAATAACCCTCAATTCTCTATAAATGTGAGAAGCAAGAGTACATGCTTAATGTCTCACATTTACATAAGAAATTGCTGTGGTTTATAAAAACGCATAGTACAGTTTTTATTATTCAGTATACCTGTAGGTTCTATATACTGAGCTCCCCCGACATTTCCATCTATCACTTCCAGTACTACACAAATCAGATTTCACTAAACAAAACCAAGATAGCCAAAATCAACAAAAAACACAGTCAAAAGAACAATTCTGAGCAAACTGGAAAATGCTAGAGAAGTGAAACATTACCTTGGCTTCTGCCACTCTTTTCATTTCCACATATTTAATATCCTGTGTCCTCATCAACTTCGCCTGTTCAGGGGTCACTTCATCCTTTGGCTGCTTTATTACATGAACCCCATCCTAAAACCAGAGGGCACACACAGCACTTACAGACACTGCACAGCTACAGGGTACTACGGGCCCTATTAATAAAAGCCAAAGAACTTTTCGCCCTTTGCCCCTCATTCTCTTCAAAGCCTTGGACAGGCAGCAAACTAAGTTTGCTATTTGGTAACTCACACTAAAACCCTGCTGGAAGGCAACTTTGATTCTCACCTGGACCTCTGCACGTATCATTTTAAAGTAGAACTCATCAGGATTCTTGTCCAGAGCTTTCTTCTGAAGTGCTCTGAGGGCATTCTGTTTCTTGTGATAGTCACTGGAGGGGGAAAAAACCAAAACCAAACAGGAGAAGTTGCTCAGCACTGTCTGCACATTCACAGTCCCCGGTGAGAGGCCGAGTGGCTCAGAGCTCTGACGTAGCAGACGGGGCTTCACATCCAGAACTGGACTGCAATAAGTGACTGTGGCTTTGCGGTTTATTCCTTGGCAGAGCTGAACCCAACGAGCAGTGCCAGAGGGGCAACGGCATCACCTGCGGCCCC